ATCCCCCTAAGCCTGGGCCAACAAGTGGACCTGTCTCCAAAAAGAGGCCCAGGCATGGTGGCCACGCCTGTAATCCTAGCACTCGGTAGCCGAGCGAGGATCCTCCAGGTCAGGAGTTCAAACAGCTGAGCAAGACGAGACCGCCTTTACTATATAGTAAAGAAATTAATGCCCAACAAAAAATATATAAATAAAAGCCGGGAAGGTGGTGCATGCTTATCCCAGCACTCGGGAGACTGAGCAGGAGGATCGCTTGAGCCCAGGAGTACTGAGGTTCTGTGAGCGAGGCTGACCCTACGCACTCACTCTAGCCTGGGCCAACATAGCGAGACCTGTCTCAAAAAAAAAAAAAAAGAGCTGAGGAGCCGAAGTCCAGGGCTGGAGACAGACTGGGATTCATTGGGGACGTTGTCTGAACACCTGGATCCAGCCTTGCACCTGAAGCGGCCCCTTGCACCCTGCAGTTCCAGTTGCGAATCTCTATGTGCTCTATTGGAGCCGGGAGCCGGACAGCCCCATGCGCACGCACCTGCTTGCTTGCAAGAAGTGCGAACACGATGATTCGTCGAAAGGCCAGGTGTAGTCGGGGTGGGCGGTAAGCAGGCTCCGCGAGGCCCGCTGCGCAGGTCCACGAGGAAGGTCGAGTGCACCAGGCACCGCGAAGCAGCCGCGCGCTCCCGCTTGCGATGGGATGTAGCGGGGGTGGCCCGGTAGTAGCCCTGCGGACGGTGGGGTCTGCTCCCGGGTCCACCCAGGGTCGAGGCTGGACCGCCTCAACCCCGACGGAAATCGGCTTCTGGCGGGAGGGGACGCGACGGCAATCAAGAAGAGGACCTGGGCTGGCCGTGTCCGCCCAACCCGGCGACGCGGGCGCGCACCGGAGGGCTCGCAACAGAAGGGGAAGGCCGAAGGCCGCAGAAGGGACCGGGCAATGGAACCCTGGGATTTCCCAGCGTTAAACGTCAGATGTGGATCAAAGGAATGGCGGTGATTCAGAAAGAAGTTTCCAAAGCTTCTGGGCCGGGCGCGGCCTCACGCCTGTCACCGCTCTCTGGAGGCCGAGGCAGAGGCGCTCGAGTCAGGACATTTCGAGAACCACCTGAGCAAGAGTAGACCCCGTCTCTGCGCTAAATAGAAAGAATAATGGCCATAATACAATAGGAAATATTACCGCCATGAATGGCGCATGCCTGTAGTCCCCCACTATCGGAGCTAGGCAGGAGGATCGCGTGATGCCCCAGGTATCTGAGGTTGCTGTGAGCGAGGCTGACAACGGCACTCACTCTAGCCGGGCACAAGCGAGAGTCTGTCAAAAAAGCTCTGGAACAATCCGGAGTTGGCATCTCTTTCTCTGTAACCTTACAGATGGAACTGTGATGTAGCCTTTGAATTTCTACACGGTGTAAGAACACAAACCGCCCGCTGTCCAATTCAAAATGCTGAGTTTTGTTGTTATGTAATTTCACCTCAATTCAAGCCAAAACCTAGAGGCCCGCCATCATGCCCGCTCCAACCACCCAGTCCCCGCCCTGGCCACCGGCCCTGCTCCAGCACCGCTCTTCTCTCCCGCTTTGCCTGGACCCCAGCCAGCCCTCGGGGTGGGACTGTGACCGGCTTGCCAATCGGAGCCTTGTGTTTCACGGCTCGTGACCCTGGCATGGCCCGTCAGAGCAACTTTGGCCGCATGCCATGGAATCGTTCCCAGGCAGCCTGATAGAACACCTCCGACCCACGGAGAACAGACAGCTCCCTGACGCCTGGATCAAGCATGCCTGAAGCCCAATCTCTGACGCTACCGCTTCCTAGCTGGTGCGTTTTAGGCAGGTCACTTCTCCCCGTGGTTTGTTTCCACCCCGGGAAATGGGGCAGGGGGACAGTCCAGCCTCTGCCTCCTCCCTTCCGTTCAGTTTTAAGGTAGGCTACCATGGTGGCGTTACAAAACGCTCACCCACGGGGCGTTAGGACGGTATAGCCGAGAACTCACGGCGGGCCGGCCCCTACCTGGGAGGTCATTCCCACCGAAGTTGAGTAGGCGCCCCCGAGTCCAGCCATGGGCGCCACCACGTTCCGTTCTCCCGCGATCTAGCAGCCAGCCCGGTCGGGTTCGATCAGTTTCGCGCCGAACTGCGAAACGCACGCGGGGTGACGTCAGTGCCGCGTGGGATCAGCGGGGGCCCCTGGAAGGCGGGCCCCCTCAGCGCCAGCGCCAGCCCAAGCCAGGCCCAGGCCCCATGCAGTCCCCAGCCCCCAGCCCCCAGCGCCAGCCCCCAGGCCCACCCACGCACCGCCCTTGAACGCCGTGCCGCACGCGCGCCGAGAGAACCCTGCCCACCACGGGTTCGCAGCCCGCGAAGAGCCTCGCGCCCCACACGGCGCTGGGACGGACGACCGCTGGGGACCTCCGCGACCACGTGCCGGAGCCCCAGAGAGGGGCGGCAGGCACCGCTGACGCAGTGAGGAGGCAGGGTCACCCCCGGCCAGGAGTGCTCTTCCCTTCCTGAGACAGAGTCTCGCTCTTTGCTCAGACGCTAGAGTGAGTGCCGTGGCGTCAAGCCTCGCTCACAGCAACCTCAGATCCCTGGGCTCAGGCGATCCTCCTGCTCAGCCCCGAGCAGCTGGACTACAGGCATGCGCCCACCGATGCCCGGCTAATTTTCCATATATTCTTAGTTGGCAATTAATTCTATTTATTAGTAGACAGAATGTCTTATCTTGCTCAGGCTGGCTTCAAACTCCCTGGGTTTGAGCGATTGCCTCAGCCTCCGATAGCTGGGAACTCACCAGGCATGCTCACCCCACGCCCGCTCATTTTTTCGCATATTTTTTAGTTGTCCAGCTAATTTCTTTCTATTTATAGTAGAGAGGTCCGCTCTTGCTCAGGCTGGTCCAAACATCCTGACCTCGAGCCGTCTCCCGCTTCGCATCACCGGATGCGGGCCCTTACTGTATATCTAAAACCAGTTAATTTATGTCTATAATTTAAAAACTTTGGACCAAAACTAACAAAACAGGCAGAAATAGATCTCTCCTGGGCAACACTAAAAATTTGGCTTTTTTCTTTCTAACTTCATATATCACTGTCTTATTTTTCTCCTCCAAGTAACATGCCGGCCTTATAAAACAGAGGAAAAGACCCTTCTAACGAATCTTAAACCATCAGACAGCATTTCCCATCAACACGCACTCACATCTCCAATTACAAAGATAACTTTTATGTCAAGCTGCTTTCGGTTGACCAACACATGGAGTTCACCGCTTGCGGCCGCAACCGCAAAGAACAACAGGTGAGGCAGAAAGCAGCTCGCGGTCCACACTCCGTGCCTTGCTGCGCCCCCGACGTCCTCTGCCTAAGCGTCAGCATGTTCCTCGTAACCATACCCAGTCCCCAGCGAGGCTGTCCTGGCTTACGAGGTAGCTAACCCCTCCCGCCTCACCTCCACCAGCCCCCCACCTGCCAGAGCCCAGCTCCTGCACACCCACCGCGGGGGCACGAAAATAAAACCACCCGGGCCCCCACCAGCACCACAGAAGCGAAGGAGATTCAGAGTCAGGTCCCAGCCTGAGCAGCACAACCGTCTCTAATAATAAATTAATGCCATAACAACACACACGTGGCCGCATGCCTGATCCCAGCTACTCGGAGCTGAGGCAGGAGGATTCGCTGAGGCCCCAGGATCTGAGGTTCTGTGAGCGAAGGCTGACGCCAGGCCTCATCCTAGCCCGGCAACAGAGCGAGCCTTTCCCGTCTCCAAGAAAAAAAAGAAGTGGCGCTCAGCCAGGTGAGCCCGGGATCACATGATTCCCCCCCCACGTCCCTAGTGCGTCACCCAAACAACTCACTTCCCTCTCTTGCCGTCAGTTTACCCTTGTGCAAAGAACGAGTAAGACACCTCGCCTTCCGCCCCGCATCCATGCTGCTCCGTGTTCCCTGCGGACCCCAGATGCCCCCACCTCCTGACCAGCGGGAATCACAGGATGTAGCAGCCCACATGTCCGAGCTGATTTCAGGCCCTGGGCGCAGCTT